CTGTTATTTCCTCACCTTTACTGAAGTCATGTAAGCCAGCTCCAGTGCACATTTATTATCTCAGCCCTGCCCCGCCCCCTCCCCAGGCTTTAGTTAGATATCCCAGACTCATTTTGCTATCATTTCCAATCCACACCACACTGCTATTGAAATAGAAAATCTGAGTTGATTGTTTCCTGGGTACCACTTAGCACTAGTCTGAAAAACAATCCATTCATTTAAATGTCATGGCCCAAGAAGTATTTATTAGGATGATTTTTGCCTCCCTTTGTGGAGATGGAAGGAACTGAAGAAAGTTGCCTGGAATTGAGTCAGCAAAAGAAGGGTTAGAATTCAATCCTAGGCAGATTGGTTACACACCTACCCACTTCAACATGTTGCCTTTTGGGCTGTAAGGCTGGAATTGAGTTGGCACAGTTCTTCCGTGGTAAAGATAGTGAAAAGTGAGAACCAGAACCCTCTCTCAGCAGTTGCAAAAATGGTATTGGGTACCTGGGTTTCACATCCTCCCTCCAACCACCAGCCATTCAGATAAGCTCTTAAAAATACTGAAAATCAGACTGACAAGAGTCTCTTGATGAACTACAAATGTTAATCAATAGAAGATTTGCAAGTCTTTTCTTTTAGTGCTTATACCCAAAGAAGGAAGAGTCGTTTTTCTCTTAAGATAACAAAAAATGTTCTCACATGCCTAGCAAGAACACTAAATTAAGTTTTGCATTGGGTAAAATTATAATAATGCTGTCTGCCTTCGATGAGTAAGTGTATATAAAAAGAACAGTTGGTCTACATGTCCTTAATGGTATAGCTTTCTTTTTTCTCTGTGATGTAAGTTACCAAATGTGAGCATTTCCATCTGACACAAACTGTGAGTCTCAGAAGAGCACATTGTAAGATTCATACGTGTTACACAACAACCATGATTGCCCTTTTCTCCAACAGGGTGATATAGATATATATTTTTTCTTTTCATATCCAGCGGTTATTACTAAAGGTCTGGAACCCTTAGTTACAGAACAAAGTAGCTTAGCAGTAATCGAGCCTGTGTGAGACTCAGGGAAGAATAATGAACATTCCCTGCAAGCTTCCTGCCTGGATGCAGGTGCAAGAATCAGGAGGTCGTGAATAATGCATGACATGCAGATGAGGTGGTGGTTTCTCCTACTGGGGTTTTGACTTTGTTACCTGCCTTGCTGCTATATGTGGAAAAAAGGTAGGCGAGGAAGGGTGGGGGGATGGAACCACAATTTAAAGACTGAGTTCATAAAAACGCTGCCTGTCCATTTAAAGAAATAATATTGAGGGAATGAGCTGAAACATTTGTGATGTACCTTATTCGATGAAGTAAACTCTAAATTACCAGCTCATTCACTGTGGTAAAGGAAAAGCTTCCTTGTTTAATGGTTTAAGTTTAAGCAACTGTATAATTATGTGCTCATACACAGAAATTCTTGGAAGACTGACCATTACAGAAATTATCTACTTAACAGTATTTGTTCTGTGGATCAATATAATTTTTTTCAGAGATACAAATACCTAGAGAATAATGTACATGCAATTTAAATAGGTCCATTAGTGTTTTCTATATCAATACATGCAATAAGATGCTTCAATAAAATAATGTTTTTTTTTTCAAACTCCGGAATTATCATATAAAGCTGTGAAGGTTCTGATAAGAGGTAAATAACCAAAGGATATAAGGTGGATTAAAGAAATCTGGGGCAATCGCTCTTTAAAACTTTAGACAAAAAGACTGACACCCTAATAGGAATGTAGAGAAGATTTTAGAGGATTTCCTGCATATCCCCTTAGGTCAAGAGGCTTTAACCAGGGAGATGTTTTTCGACCCATAATTCCATTTTGACATATTGGAAGCAGATATGAGACAGGGAGCAGGAGCTGAGAGAGGGGACGGGGGAAATGGGAAGAAGGAAAAACAAGTAACTCTCTCTACCTTTCGTATAATTCGCTTCCATTTGTTTTTCTCTCTCCAATTTGGGGTACTGGAATAAGCGCTGGCTCCCATTTCTAGCTGAGTCTGTCATTTCCGCTTGGCCCCAGTTTGGCTGGGTGCCAAGACCAACAGGTGATCCTTGTCGCTGCAGAACAGCAGGAAGTGGGCTGTGCTTGAATGAGACAGTTCACCAGAGGGGCTGTCTGGCCTCTCTCCATCTTTCAGCATAATTAACACCCCCTCCCCCATGCAGAGCGGAAAATTTGTGCTGAGCAGCTCAGCTGCAGCCGCCATTGAGAGCCACTGTGAGGAGGAGAATGTTAATAAGGGGTGTTGGAAGAAATCAGCCTTCCACATGCAAAGTACAGTCTGACTGGAGTTGCTGAAAGACTGCAGTGGGTGATTCTGGAGGGCTCAAACTGGATTTTCTATTTGGAAATGATTTTCATTTGTTCAATATCTATATTTAAAAAATTGGATGTTCTACTGATCCTTGAAACCATTGTCTCTAACTGAACTCATACAAGTTGCTGAAAATTTCTATTTTTCGGCATCCGGATAGGTAGTACTGGAGTTGAGACATTTGCCTTGCATGTGGCCAACTCCAGTTCCATCCTGGCACCATAATATGGTCAGGAGTTCATCAGGAATGATCCCTGAGCATTGCAGATGTGGTCCAAAGGAATAAAATAATAGAGAAAAAATGTTTCTTTCTTGTCTTGTGAAGAAGAGTAAGAGTAATGTCTGGGCTAGAGAGATAGTACAGAAGTTAAGATACAGGTCCTGTACCAACCAGTCTGGGTTTGATATGGTCCTCTGAGCATCCCCAAATGCAGCTCTGGTGGTGTGTGGTCCAGAGAATCCCCAGCATCACTGGGCCTGAGCATCCTCATCCCTTGCATTGATCTGCAGACAAGTTTGGCAGAGAATCAGTCCGACAGAGCAGAAAGTCAGACACAAGTAAAACAGACAATATGACAAACAAAGGGAAAGGTTTTGTGACTGGTTCTTGATAGGAAGCTCTCAGCACTACCTGAAAACTGTTTGCATAGATGAACCCCCCCACCCCCCAAAGCTTGTAAAATCCGGGTTCTTTACTTCTCCCTTGTTTGGGTAACTTTTTCCATTGCATTCCCTAAAGCCCAGCAATAGACCATCACATCTAGTAAGCATCTCAGCTTTCTCCTAGAAGTCTCCTCATCCTCCTCTTTCCCCATATTGCTGCAGATTCTGTACTCGGATCAGCTAAGGTTCAGTGTTTGGGAACCTGCAAATTATCCAACAGTAGAGGGATTACCAGGAAGAAAAACCTTGTGTTTATGCATGCACTACATGAGCAGGAATATTTGCTGATGAGATAATCACAGGGGTGGTTAGAATTTGGGGATAGTTAAATCTAACAAAGGAAATACATTGTAAAGCTTGGCTGGAGAAATACAGAGGGTATGGCTCTTCCCTTGCATGTAGCCAACCCAGGCTCCATCCCTGACACCATATATTATGCCTCAGAACCACCATGTATTCATGGGTACCACAAAAACCAAATCAATATAATAAGGAAACTGTTAAGCAGAAGAAAAAGGGGTTTAAGCTTCTAGGGGATGAGATACAAGAGGAGACTAATGGGAAATCAGGTTTGTGTATGTAAACATTCCTCTTGTGACCCATTGAGGTGGTACACATCTGATTCTTCTTCCTGGCTTAGAGAGTGAGGGACATATTTACTAATGAAGATTTTCTTTACATCAGAGAAATCTATACAGTGCTTTTGACACAGAGACAATGGGGATTAGAGAAAGTAGCCCTAAAGAAAGGAATTACTGTTACATGAAGATGGCGTCACAAGATGGATGCCATAACATGGATGACCAGAAGAGAATCAACTCAGTATCCTGCCCCTTGTCTTACCCAATGTAAGGGGAAAGTGCTTAGTTATCCCTCTACTTGGAGATATAATTACGTGTGAGTGTGTGAGTGTATATGTGTGTGTATGCCTGTGTGTGTGTGGGGGGGGGGGGGTGCAGGGGAGGAAGGAAAGATGTGTCCATTCCCTGGAATTCTGTTTTGCTAATCCCTCCATATTGTGGAATCCTGCCTGCCCTTTCCCCCTCCTTTCTATCCTTTTAGGAAAAAATCTCTTCTGTATTCAACCCTTAACTGTTATCTCCTGCTTCCAATTTTGACTGCTTGAAGATAAGATCCTAATCACATTATAACAATTTTTGACATAAAAATAAGGGAGAGGGGCAGCCAGAGCTGGTACTAATTTGTTTACCTTGCAGTGATCCCACCCCCATTCTATTCAGATACTTCATGGTCCCCTGAAAAAGATTTGAAAAAAATTAAAAAGAAGGCTCCTCTTGGGTTGGCTATTCCAATGACCTTCCACTCAAAAGGATCTTTGTATCAAAGCAGCATATTTTGGGGGGCATATGCTGAACCCCTTTTTTATGTTGCTTTGTATGGTCTTTAAATCGAGAGTTTGACTGAGGTTGAGTGCAAATACATTCTCTTTGTGTCCTGCTCGTGGGAATAGATACCCAAAAAGGGCTTGTTGAGGGGAAGAACAGTACTTGGTATTGATATTGCACTCAACGAAACTGGCTGGAATTAGTAACTGTTGAACTGAAGGAATCAGTTTAAATTCTGTTCCCTTCTTAGACAGTTGAGGAAGAAGAGTTATTCATAATGAACACTGGCAAACACATTATGTTAAAGGCAACTAAAAAGGAAGGAGAAGGTGTAGTTTGCAAGTACATGGATTTAACTGCATCTATTTAAAAATTTGGATCAAGGGGGCCAGAGAGATAGTGCAGAAGATAAGGCACTTGTCTTGCACATAGATGACCCGAGTTTAGTCCCTGGCATGAACATGACCAGGTGAGACCCCAAAAGCAAAAAAAAAAAAAACAACTTGAATTAAGATTTGGGGGATTTTAAGCCAATATAGAAGAGTTTGTTCATAAATCAGATCTCCCTATATTTGTTCATTTGTATATGGAAATATGCATTTTTTACTGATTGACTACTCATTTGCTGTTTACAGGGTACATCCATCCCCAGTATCAAGAGTCCGGGGAAATCGAATGAATAATCAAAAGTTTGCTTGGTGAGTATACTGCTCAGGTCATGAGAACTTATGAGTCTTGTGGGAAACTTTAATGGAAGTATGTTTAAACAAATTAAAATTATTTCTGCTACTCTATGGAAAAAATGTTTCTATTAACTGAACTACATAGTTTTCGTTTCCTTTGGAAATTCTAAATAAACCCTGGAGTTCTTTAAAGTCAAAGCACTTCAGTCACCAAAACCTGAGTGTAATAGTTTTTGTCTGAACAAATAAGTTGTTTTTTAATTTTGGATGGGGGTTGCGGGGGAGGGACGTGGGAGAGGGGCATAGATAAGGGTGCCCCTCTCAAGCAGTGTTCAGGGGCCAGAGCCACTTCCGGTGCTACTGAACCATAGGTGATTCAGTATGAGGATGCAGGACTCTGCAGAGCCAGGTTCCCAGGGCTACCTAGTCACCTCCAGGCCTATACTCAGTTTCCTAGGGAGGGATTGAACCTGGATGGTGTGTACCTTTTTGACACATCCCTGATCCAGCTATGACATTTTTTTCCCAATGGTTCCCAGGGCGAGAGAGAGAGCACAGGGGTCAAGGAAGAAGCTTGCGTTATATCAAGACAACTTTGATTGATCCTTGCCATTTCTTGGTCTCCCAAGCCCCTCTGGGAGTGACCCCCTAGCACTAAGCTCAGAGGAAGCCCTAAGAACCACTACCACCACGTGTGCTCCCAACATGGAGAGGAAGACATAGAAAAAGTCAGAGAGAGAGAGAGAGAGAGGAGTGTTGTCATTTTATTTCATAGACACACTAAGTCGTTTTTATTTCATAGACACACTAAGTCACTTTATTTCATAGACACACTAGGTTTGCTAGTAAAACTCAAGTAACCACTCATTTTTCTTGACTATCAACTTTAACTTCTAAGGAAGGTTATCATAGTTAATCTGTAAATTTAATAAGTACTATTTAGCTGATTTTTTGACATTGGTCTTAATTAAGTATCTCAGATTTTTATTTGGGGAATATGAAGGTTTTCTCTCACTGAGTAATTCTTGGATAGAAATATATCTGAAACTTAACCTAAAACGACCTGAGAAGTCCATGACCACAAAATATTGATGGCTACTTTTTTAAAAAATGTTTTGCAAATGTTTTATATGCAACAAAATAACAAACAATAAATGAATTAGGGGGCTAGAGCTCAGGGCACTTGCCTTGCACCTGACCCCACTGAGTTGGATCCCCAGTACCTTATGTGGTCCTCCAGCCACAATAGGAGTAAACCCCAAGCACAGAGCCAGGAATAATCCCTGAACAATGCTGGGTGTGGCCCCCAAAACAAAAAAATTTTAAAAAAAAGAATTAATGTCGTTTAAAATCTATATTTATTCAATTCCATTTCACTAAATTAACCTTTCTACAGATAATGTAATTTTTTAAATAGAAGAAAAAATTGAGCTGTGTATGTACAGTCTTACTTCAAAGGTGAAGGAAATTCACATTCCCCCATTTTCACTTCATTGAATTGTGCTTCGAATAGGATTTTGATTAAAAACTATGGTTATTTTTTTTAATGGGAAGATGATTGCCAAAGATCGAGGTTCGAAATTAATTTTATTCCTAAATCAGAATTATTTTTAGACAAAAAAATAATGAATCTTTGAATTTGAATAGTGCCTAATCAGCTCACCTCCCTTCCCCCATTAAATCTAATTAACCCTCACAATAGCTTGGTAGTGTTGTTAAATATTATGCTTTTCTTTTTCCCAGACAGGGAAATGGAGCACGAAGGCTACAGCCATTTGCTTACACACAGGCTAAAGGCGGGAACATCCTTCCTAGTTTCTCACAATGACTAGAGCGTATTGTCCCTCATCTAAGCGGGGAAGCTCAGAGAATAATAATGCTCATAGCCGTTGCAGAAAAGGAACGGGGAGAATTAGGGCCTCTCTTAAGTGCGCGGAATTGATATTCCTTTCTAGTACAAGGCATATTGTACTGAAGGAACTTTATTGCCCAGAAGAGAATATAAGATGCTCAAGTGAACAATGTGAGCTTTAAATAGAGTGAGTACAGCGCTGTCAGTTATGAGATCAGTGTCTACAAGTTATTTCTCAATAGCTAAGTGTAGAATATGGATGTGTGTGATAACGCATTTTCATTTCTTCACCTTTTCTTTCTGGAGTATTGCTGTGTTGATAACTTGTTCCTACATTATTCAGAGCACAGTGTATGGTTAGAAATGTAAGCCACTGTCATCCGGCGAAGTAATCTTTAAGACCAAAGAAATTTTTACTACTAGCCTTGAGAAAATTCAGCTTTAGTTTTTTTTGTGACCGCATTGATTTACAATCTCTTGCACTGAGAAAACCTCTAGATTAGAAAGATAAAAGAGTTTCTGGTTTTAAAGTGCTCTCTGTTGCAAACGTCTCTGTGTGTATGTATATGCATGCATGTAATGTTACAGAAGTGGATTGTATCATGCCAACCATGTGCAATATATTAGATATGTGTGTATGATGCTCTAAGAAGATATATTTATAAAACAACATAATGTTCAGAAATGTTATCAGTTCTATAGAAGGCCTGTTTGAGAGTGGATATTTGTGAAAAGGAAAATATAATGCCAGTGTCAGAAAAACATCCTAGAGAAGAAACTTGTTTTGTTTTATATCAAATCTTATTGGCATACATACAGTATGCATGTGTGTACATATATGCACATGTATATTTGCTTGTGTGTATATGTAACATATAAGTATCAGGTATATGATGTAATGGTTATCTATCTGTATATATTATGATCACCTCAGTCTGGCTAACCATCACTGTTTACAAAAATTTGTGTGTGTGTGTGTGTGTGTGTGTGTGTTGAGCACATTTTTTTATTAGTGAATCACTGTGAGGTACAGTTACAGACTTACAAACTTTTGTGCTTTCAATCATACAATGATCAAGTACCCATCCCTCCACCAGTGCCCATTTTCCAACACCAATGATCCCAGAATCCCTTCCACCATCCTTGCCCCATCCCTTCCAACCCACCCCATCTCTGTGGCAGGGCATTCTCTTTTGCTCTCTCTCCTTTTGGGTGTTGTGGTTTACAGTAGAGGTATTAAATAGCCATCATGTTCGGTCTATAGTCTACTTTCAGTCCGCATCTCCCATCCCAAGCAGGCCCTCCTAGCACCCTTTACTTGGTGGTTCCTTCTCTATCTGAGCTGCCTTTTCCCCCAGCATGCGAGGCCAGCTTCTAAGCTGTGGAATAATCCTCCTGGTACTTATCTCTACTATTCTCGCATGTTAGTCTCCCATTCTGTTACTTTTTATTCCACAAATGAGTGCAATCTTTCTATGTCTGCCCCTCTTTTTTTGATATTTTTAAGCTCTATTCCATCAGCAACTTTGAGATATTCAGTACAATATTAACAGCTGCCATCCTCTTGTCCTCACAGTCCCTAGGACCTAATCTGGAAGTGTTTGCCTTTTTTTTTTTTTTTTTTGCTTTTTGGGTTACACCCAGTGATGCACAGGTGTAACTCCTGGCTCATGCACTCAGGAATTACTCTTGGCAGTACTCAGGGGACCGTATGGGATGCTGGGAATCGAACCCAGGTCAACTGCATGCAAGGCAAATGCCCTACCCACTGTGCTATCAACTACAGCCCCAAGTGTGCCTTTAAAGCTTCTCCTTCACCCATGTCTTCCTAGTTGCCACCTCTGGAAACTGCCAGTCTAGTCCTTATGCCATGAGCCTGTCTTTGAGTTGCTTGGGTTTTGTTTGCCTATTTTAAAAATTTCACATATAAAGTGAGACCAGGTGGTATTTATCTTTCTCAGTCTGAAGAAGGCTTTTGAGTAATGACCTAGAATAGAAAAAGCAGAGGATTGAGAGCGCTGCTTTTAAAGATTGGAAGCTCTAACTGTAGCAGAAGCCCACGTGGATTTAATATATGTGTCGTTTGGTCATAAGTTAGTTAAGATTTGTATTATGTATATATGCTACTTTGAGTCCCCTTCAGATAAATGTCATGAGGCTGGTGTGTAGAAATAAGTCACCTCTCTTGGAAGATTCCTTGTAATCATCCAGCATCTATGTCTAGTTCAGTTATAAACACTTGTTATTTCTTTGTCATAAATTCACCTTACAAGACCCACAGGACTAAATGTTCATTTTAGCAATTAAGAGGAAAGGAAAGTAATCATTTCTTTGTGAGAGACATAGAGGGAAAGAGAGATTTGCAATTTATATAGTTAGAGGACATGTTCCACCTTAGTTTGGTTCAAGTTTGAGTTAGTTACACTATGTGCAAGTGCCTTATTCTGGAGCAGAGAGATAGTATTGGAGTTAAGGTTATTGTCTTGCATCTCACTTTCCTTTGGCACTGTGGTCTTCTTATCAATGCCAGCAATGATCCCTGAGCACAAAATCAGAAGTAAGCCCTGAACTTTGCCTCATGTGACACAATTACCACTAACCGCCCAAAACACTGTTCCTCAAATAAGCATTTAAACCTTAGTAAAGGATAAAAAGGCTTGAACTAAAAATTTAGGCATAGGAAATATATGATGATTTGTAGCTTGCAAGTCAATGACTGTGGTTTAGATACCAAGCTCATGTTTATTATTGAGTAAACATAGTTTAAAATTTAAGAGGTGTTTTTCTTTGAATAATGTTAACTTGCAGAATCCACTGACCTCATTCCTGTGGAAACAATTTCCTTCAAAGCTGAAGAAATGTATGGGAAAGCATTATGGCTCAAAAAAGACAAACAAGCTAGAATGGGAAGAAAATGGAATAGGAAGAAAGGGAGGGAGGAAGAAGAGAAGGAAGGAGGAAAGGTGCAGAGAGGAGATAAAAGCACCAAGATGCAAAGGGTCCAATAACATATGTCAGGATGGGAACAGGCTTTTTACCTGCCAACTCTACCAGAAGTACTTCTTAGATGGATTGTAACTCAGTGATGGCTTACAGACTTTACATACTTACAGTCCGAGGTTTGATCCCTGGCAACAAAACAAGCCAACAAAGAAATCAAAAT